CTTTCCATCATGAACGACAAAGCGATCAAAAGGTAGAAAAAGTGGAAAGCCAATGAAACACCAAATCTCTGAATATGTTGAGTTGATTGAAGCACCTTATACACACACAATTCAACTTTCAGTTACATTTGAGTTAGCTTTTCTTCCTCAGAATATAGCGCAGGTAGAACGAAATTTTTCGAAACACTACGTAACAGTACGTCTCGTAAAACTCGACATATGGTTTCAATGANTAGCGAACCCATGGGAACACGCGTCAGAGCGAGAACCGAGATTCAAAGAGTGCGTATGTCTATGCACGCGACCAAGCAGAGCGAAATTAAACCGCGAATTAACAATTCCGCTCGGGATTTCGTTGTTCCAAGGCGGGGACGCGATTGAAAGTGATTTCGTGCGATTAATTTGTCGGAAAAGCTTTTTTTGCAAATCGTATCGCAAGTCGAGTGGTTCTCGATATTGGGGCACTGGCATACCTCGAAAATCCTCTCAAAAATATTTACTCGCGCAAACACAATACCTTTTATGCAGTTTTTCTCACGACGATAAACGCCGAGCAATAGAACTGCATCGGTTATGCAACGTATTTGTCGTTCTGGACACGTGGTCGGAATCGTCGTTTGCTCAATCGAAGAATACTCCTCTCCTCACCTCTACTCGATAGGATGAAGCTGCTAGATCGCGAAGAGAATTAGCAGTTCTAGATCTAAGAGGAGGGCCTTGAAGCAAAGTAGCGAAAACCGAAGGGGAGAATATTAAATTACCGGAGCTTGATACGCTGAACTTGCTGAAAGGTGAAAAACCACGTCTAAGCTGGAGACTCTCTCGAAATCAACTGACTTGCCTAATTGCTGCTACGAACAGATCGCGCCTCGCTCGTTACCCTCCTCCCCCTCCCCAGAGTGGTGGTTTTACGCCCCCGGCACTGCGGGGCCAATCCACTCAACCGAAACGTCGCGATCGAAGTCGCGTGATCGCGACGACACCCGAAACACACACGGCACGCACACGCGCGAGCATGCACGCACACACACGCGCGCACGTTAAGGGAGTGCTGCCCCTACATAAAGGCTTTCTATAGATAAACCTACAACTTTTTTTAGATTCGGAAAAGCTATATATTACGATCGCCGAATTCGCCTCAGCATCTCCTAAAAGATGGATACAAAGAAATTGTAAATTGATCTATGAAAAACTGAAGGTGGCCTCGATAACTCCGGGAAAAAAGGGTTAACCAAAAATTTGGCACAATAACCTTAAAGCTCTCCTTAAACCATGTTATTTTACCTGAAAAAATTTAGCTGATCACGTATCGTGGTTCACCCTGTATACTAAAAGCAGAGATGGAATAAAATGTTTACTTGTAGAACTAACGCACCGATAAGCTTATTTTTCTTAACAGATTTGTAATAGATTGGATTATCAGGTAAATATATATATATATATATATATATATATATATATATATATATATCGGCTCACACACACACACACACACAAATTATTTTTACGATCAATTTTCCATTCTATTATGTATCGATGAGCTAAATAAAAATATATAAGCAATACAGGTATATTCCTAAAGAATTTTGTCACAAAATAAGATTGAAACATTTCAAGACAGTACTAATGGAAATCTCGCGATGGAAATAAATTTATCGATAATGTCGAATTTCTTTCCATCATGAACGACAAAGCGATCAAAAGGTAGAAAAAGTGGAAAGCCAATGAAACACCAAATCTCTGAATATGTTGAGTTGATTGAAGCACCTTATACACACACAATTCAACTTTCAGTTACATTTGAGTTAGCTTTTCTTCCTCAGAATATAGCGCAGGTAGAACGAAATTTTTCGAAACACTACGTAACAGTACGTCTCGTAAAACTCGACATATGGTTTCAATGAAACTATTTTCTTGCTCGTCTCCATGGCAGTGCTTGGCTACACCTATTTCTCGAGACGATTCCGATGGTACCCAAATGGGAGCTTTTAAGGAACTGGAGCCACGTTCGATGGTTGCCCCGAGGGACCCATCTGAGGTTCGCCTCGCACCTGTCAAGGAGAATAGGATCGTATTAGTCAGACATCGAGAGGTTACCCGAGGCAACGCAACGTGTCGACGCATATTCTCTTAGCCTTTGTCTATACTCGAGATAGATAACTATGGAATTCTTTCGAAATATTAAAATCTTGGCTGCCATCGCCACTGCAGCTAACATGATCAAAAAACAAGGACACAGTTCGTAGAGTTTGTAACAGATTGCATTACAAATCTCCTGACGATTGTCATTTGTTGAAGTAAAAATTATATAAAAGTTCAGAAATTTCAAATTTCTCACTATATTATTTGTTAAAATATTATGCTAGGGAAATACGTTTTGTATGACGCATGCTTCTAGTTATATAAATAGTCGAGCTAACAAAATTATTATTATTAAAAAGGAACATTGAAGATGAAGTTTAATGCAGTCAATACACTTCTTAACCATAAAGTGTGGAAATTAACGAGGGAAAACTCTAATAGAATAATTTAGTCAAAATAAACTTTAATAAAATAAAGATTTCATCGATTTCTGTTAATATCCACGCTTTCTAGTATTTTCACCATTTCTGCGCACCGAAAATGCACAAAGACCTACAAGTCAAGCTGCAAAAGCATGCGAGTCAATTACTTTGCCCGTAGTTGCAATGCTGAATATTTAGGGTATGTCCATACAGCACAAAACTTTCAGTCGTTTAAAATTCTTCAAATGGCAAACCATTCGAGTAAATAAAAATTCAAAGTTAGACGCGAGTCAGTTCCAACTAAACGTTGAAAAAGTCGGAAGTTCTTCCCCCAGTGTACAAAACGTCTCCGTCCCGAGAATATTTATCGAGTCGCCAGGACCGCGATGTACCAATGCGAGCTCACTCGTCGGCTCTTACGACTTCTCGTTTTAATCCCCTAATGCGACTTTGAACGACAATTGTCGAGAAACAGAGGGAATACATGGGCCCATAGAGAAGAGAAAAGGTCTCCGGAGAACCGCCGTCTTCGTTAGTATCAGTTATGCGTCATCAGAACAGACGATTCCGGATTTCGATGTTAGTCAGGGGAAGTAAACTCGTTTTCTTTTTCCTAACAAGTATCTAGCTGTCTAGTATCTTGTACTTCCTTGTGCAATTTATCATCCACATCTCGTTACTTCGGTAGTTTCTTTTAAACGAGTTCTACCGTGTGCGGGATAATAGGTCCAAATAGGTTAAAATAGCCTCGTCAGATGTGCCAATGACTTTTTCTTCTTTCCTTAATGAAGCCTTTCGGACTCGTTGCACAGCGACGAAAAAGACACCCTCGGGAGCGTATTAATCATTTTTACATCGATAATTAGACGAGAAAGAGTGTAGCCTGGCCCGGGGATCGTTTAGAAACAATTAATTCGGGTTAGCCAATTATCGTCGACGTCGTTTTGCCGGAGTGATGGAGATTGATTCGTCGTCGAAAGAACTTCCGTTCACAGGAAAGTTCCAGTCATGACGTGGATAAATTCACGTTCGCACCAGTTACGTAACCAGCATACAATTTTATCGTACAAATTAATATCCCGCAAGATTGCAACAAAACGCAAATTAAAATGTCCGCGAACCACCTGAGCATCGTAGAATCGGATATTCGGCAAAGAAATTGAATTTATTCCTTGCTAATAACTACAATAGACTGTGCGGATCTTTATGTACAATAAAAATAAAAGACGTTTTCTTTCATAACAAGTCCAATAAGTTGTAAATAACGTAATGTAAATATTTGGACTTTACTAATAACAGTACTAGTAGCTATAATTTAATTATTATTACTTTTAATATCTACAAATAACTATACTTTGAACTTTGAGGATATCAAATGATTTTTTATATATCAAATTAAATCTTCAACAGCGTTTCTTGATTAAAAACATTCTTTCATGAGAACCAGTTGAAAGTATTTTTCTAAAAACATTCGTCATAGTATTTCTGAAAAGAAATCAGACTGTTCATAACGCTTTACAAAATTTTGACGCATGCCTAATTCAACGCCGCGGTTGAAGTTTCAAGTTAAAACAACTGAAACCATAAAAACATCTGTATCGACCTAATATCTTCATGGTTTGCCCCAGAAATGTCGCCGTTCGTGCACGTCGATTTCACAACACATCCAACAATATCTGTCACTGCGAACCAGCACCAGACAAGCTAAAGAAGACGAATTGGTAATCGATGTTTACGTTTTCATTTTGTCGAAAAATGTAGGCAGCCATCCTTGTAGTCTTTGAGATCGAGGACCGCACACTCGGTAGATTAAAAAATGAAAGTGAACAAAAAAACGGATTTCCCCGGAAACGGGGTTTTCAATTTTGAGATAGAAACGGATAGGCAGCATGGAAACAAAATTGATTATAGGAGATTCGCCGAATGGACGTTGAATGTATCAAATTATAATCCTCTTCCTATCCGCCTTTTCCACCGGCGAGTTCAATCTCAAAAAAATGTTCTTTCAGTTTCTTCATTGTGCTTTAAGATTAATGATGTCACTCGGATGAAAGAATAGATGGTCCAAGGAAACTTGGTAATTGCCAACGAAGCCTCGAAACTTGCATGTCTGATGAAAATACTTTTCCTTGGATTCATTAATCCTCATTTTAGACTTCTTCTAATTCTTCTTCATATTTTTATACTGTAACCATGGCTTCATCAATTCCTGTTTCAATAAGTCGCATATTTATTATGATTCTGAAATTCGTGGTAAACGTAGATCGTGTAAATTTCATGGTAAAATCGTTTCCACTCCGTGCTTCGATGTTCTTCTGCTAGGCTATATATGATGAATTTTTGTTAGATCAAACATATATATGGCGAGCATGGGAGCAGCGATTAATAAAATCCAGGGGATATTGTAGACGCATAGCTTGCAATATGATCAAAGTACAATCATTGCGGAGATATATTACAGTATTATTAAGAGATACGTTTTCGGTGATGTTGCAGGGGCAATCTTTACGGAGGATCAGAAGGACAGTCCATCCGAGCTGGCATTCAAATACGCCATCTACAAAATTAACAAGGACAAATCCTTGCTGGCGAACACAACGTTAGTGTATGATATTCAATACGTGCCAAAAGATGACTCCTTCAGAACATCAAAGAAAGGTAAGTTTAAATTCGAATTACTCCTGAATCAGCAGCATAAAAATCCCACTGAAGCCCGCAACCCGTCAAGGGAAACAGAAATTAGCGTGATTCCGTTGTGTGAACAGAATTTTCCAGTTCCTGAAGCAAGTTGACCCACATCGAACCTAAAACTGTGCCAAAAACCTACAACAAAAAACTGCAACGTGGCAGCACTTTCACTGCACGACTTCTCCGTGTATTGCATCTTCTTCCACCAGAAAAGCCTCTCTCTTCCCTCAGAGATAACCCGTACACGAGCCTGAGCTGTCTCCTTGCCCCTCTGCCCCGCGACAGGGAAACGTATTTAACGCCTCGAAAACATCTAGAGCGAGCATCTCGACACGGAAACGTCACGGGACCGATAAGGCACGAGTTCCCTATCTGATAGAAACGAGTCAGCTTCGAGCCACGACTCCTTTCTATTTTGGAGCTTTAAGCGGGTCTTAAACACTTAACATTGTGTCTGTGAAAAACCAATTGCGGATTCTCTCACTTGACTACGATGTACGTTTTAGAATATATCATTGTTCAAATACATTTGTGTGCATATGCCATTACATTGATTTATGCAAATTGATTTCCTCTACATGGCACAGTACGGGGCAAAATCTATTTTCTGGACAAAAATCTTCGTGATCAGTATATACGGTAAACGTAATTTTAATTCTTGTTAACAATAATCAGTTACTGTGAAGTCGATTTACAATCTACAAAAAAAAAGAGAATAAAAATTTCGGAAATGATACAATCACATTATATTGGTAAAATGTAATTATTATAGACATACTGCAATTTCGTTGTAATATTAATATAAAACAAGTACATACAGGAATAGAAAAATATAAGGAGTAGCATAAAAATATAAAATAACAGATGCACAATTATTCCCACAATATCACTCAATTAATCAAACCGAAACTAGATAGCCAAAATTTGCGATGGTAACATGAATGATGGTAAAATGAACTTCAAAACCTAGTTCAAAATTAATGTCAGCCAAGGTGATAACAGGATGCAATACCAATAATCTCAACAATTTCGCAAACTTTGTAAACAAAGTGTTTTATTCGATCAAATTAAAATCGAAAACTTAAGTTGTAGAACGTCGAGTACTTTTTCTTATGTTTTGCAGATCCTAATAAAGTTAATAAGACGTAACAAATTGCATGAAAAATTAATTTTCCAATCTGAACAAATAATTCCGCCATTCATGTATTAGTGACGCGTCACTAACAGCCAGCATTACATATAAAAGGACCAAATTAAAGATGAAGAGAAAGCAAAAGCAGAGGTCTGTCTGCAGGGGTGCAAAAGTAAGCTTCATAATAGAGTGTTAAACGCAGGCGTTTAAGGAAGAATATCTATCTCGTTTAAAATAAGGATATGCCACGACTTTGAACATTCAAGCAACCCTTAGAGCTGCATCTTTTGGACAACATTCGTTGCCGATGCCTCTGGGAAGTATTTCGCATCCCCAAGACTGATTTTCATCCCCGATATGCTTTGTCGATAAAAGTTACGCAGCCGGAGCGCTCGCAGCGAGCACGGATGCCCGTAACTTTTTACTATTCCTCGAGGAGCCGGTATTCCTCGGGCGAAACGATCCTGCTCCTTCCGCTTGAACCTCGCAAGTCGAAAATTCGGACGTAAAAAGGATCGCTGCTTCTTCTCGGAGCAATAATATCCAAGGGAAAACGCACTAAGCTCGTTCGAGATTCGCGCGTATTTACTTAGCAGGATTCTGCTGGCGACGCGTAAACCGTCCACCCTCGCGGAATGTTACAAGGTTCCTTTAAAGCTCAATTCTTTCACGAATCCTGCGACTCTATCGCTTGCTCGTTGTATTAAAAACTGGATTTTTCGAATAGAAACGGCCCGATCCGATTAAATTCTGGAATCGAGTTAAAAGCTTCAATATAAGAAAACAATTAGAAATCTAATCCACAAGTCTGATGAACGAAGATTTATGAAAAGTGTTCTAATAATTGTTCCATTTTTTATGAATTGAGTTGTAGAAGAATGCCATGTTTGCATTTAATTATCTTTATTAGCCATATTTTTAGATCTCTGTCCACGAACGTGACAATGTCTGAATGTTTACAGTTATCTTTTTATAACTTTAGACTAGAAGAGTTCTTGTGGTACATCAAGCTCGTTAGGCACTTTAAAAGATCTGTAATTTACTATGCATATTATACAATTATGTACAAAAGAGTTCACATGAAAACTCGATATCATACACTGCTTGAAATTTCCATAAAGCCACACTGTCTGTTTTGCTGATTTCTTGTAATCGAGAAGGTCAAAATAATAGTAGAGTAAGTCACATTTTCTTTTCCTCATAGTGAATTGTTTACTGATCAAATTTATTGTTAAGATAATTTAGAGTTAAGTTAATTCATAGACACTTTATAAATGATTTCACTTGTCTTTTTAACATTTTGGCATGTATAGATTACATTCTAACACATTACGGACCAGTACTTTTATTGTTAGCTTTATCCAGTGACCAGCTATATATGTTTTACGCTGCAAATGACAACAGTGAAAATTCGAGAATTCTCGTGATTGGCCTAGAACAGAAAACACGAGAGTCATCGTCATTCGTCCGCAATGTGTTGCCATAAGTCCAAATTTTCTTTAAGCCATTATAATACTAACCCACTCAATTATTTTATACTAATGAAAAAAAGTGTTCAGTAGCATTTGGCTGTTAGTTAAAGAACTAATTCATACAGTGTTTGCATTCAAAAGGCTGCATCATAAAATTATTCAGAGTGATAATCTTAACTATTTTTATAAATAATAATTATTATTATTTTCTAAATAATTATTATTTCTTACTTTTGTGAACAATACAGGTAACGAGATTTCCGGTTAGATCCGGCGTTTTCGAATATATTCGTAACCGTATCGCGAGATTCATACGTTCGAAAAGCAGCCGTGAGATACATGGACGTGTACGAACGTAGAGCGGATCGGTATGAGTCATAAGGCAAAATTTATGCAAAACAATTCCGCAGACCGGGTCGAATCAGCCGCTGCGAAACCATAACAATGTTTCTTGCCGGTCGATCGTAGACGGCCAGCGAACGTAAATTGCGAACCGTAAATCCGACCAGACGGCGATAAATTCGCAACAAGCTTCTATCTTCGACGAAAATCTACTTTGTCGTGAACGCAGTCCAGCCTCCTACGACTCAAAGTCACTTCCCCTTGGCTTTTATATATTTCTAAAGCACCGAACTTGTATTGGCGGATGGTCACAATTGCTTGCGTTACCGTACGTGACTGCTCGTTACTCTTAGATGTCTCTCAGAGCATTTCGAGGACACTCGAAGGTCCCACTGATCGTCTAGAGGTTGTTGTCGTTTGAGGATCCCTTTAAGGAGCACTCGAATCCCATAAGCGACAACACTGGGCACTAACGGACCTACATACAATGGACCAACCAACCTCTAGGAAGGACTCTGAGAAACAACTTCAACATTGAGGAGTTGTGGGAAATTTACGGGAGATCGAGAACCGCGGCAAGATATATAACAGGATCTCGAAACACTATACTTGAAGCATGTGGAGATCCATTATGGCTCTAGATTGGATCCTGGAGAATCGCAGAGATAGTTTAGAGGTCGAGATATTACCGGAGGCCTTGGGTAGATTGTGATGGATCATTAAGGCAGCAAGTACGTCGTAAAGCATCCATTGCGGATTTAGGCCTTTGGTACTTGCTGAAAGGCGATCAAAATATTTCTGGAACTGTGCATAGCTGACATACAACTCAGAAAGTTGGTAAATGGTAGTCAAGGAACAAGAAGTTGGTCAGAAGTACTGGAAGAAGTTGGTCAAAACAACCGGTAAACTTCTGTGAAGTTCTGAAGATGTAGGCATCTGCAACTACTTCGGATTCTTGAAAGCTTCTGAAAATACTGAAGTTTCAGGAAAGACTGATAATTTTCGATATCTACTTATTGACTAATCTCTACTTATTCATTGCTAGACATCTATTTATTCGAATATTAATAGTCACTATGTTATACTTTATTTTGTTAATACTAAAATATTAAAATATTTAATTTGCTGCATGGTATTAAACATCTCCCTTGTTAGCGACTTTTTAAAAAATCTATCTATGTGTTTAGTAATAGCTCCAATAATATCACTTTTGAACACATAACTCATCACAGTGAATTTCAGATTCATAAGAAATTCGACATTTCATATATGGCACATCTTAATAGTTAGAAAGATCAAATTGTTGCGTTTTAATTAGGCAGTTGTGGAAACTGTTTTAATGCTCTCGCTGACGATTGTTTACTAATACTCAAACCATAAACTTGCATCGAGTCCTCGTTTAACCATCTAGCTAACCTCATCGAGTCTGCTAATCATCATCAGCGTACGATGACATCTACAAATGGCTTCGTCTCTAATTTCCGTGGCGAGCCGTACAACAACATTCCAGGCGCCATTTCTACGCAGAACAGAGAGTCACGGGTTGTGTAACAATGCGGCGTTAACAGCTACGGAAACCGTATCAGCTTCTCGTTTCGTTCAGAAAGGAAATCTTTTATCGCACAATTTACATGGAATTTGCAAAATTAATTCTGTTAAAAACCCTGACACTTGAAAGACACTTGATTCCTACTCTAAAGACATAACACGACTGTTGGTAATTACGATACTTCCGGAAATGAACATAGTTGTTTCGTAAAATTATACTTGGATCGTACTAACAGGATTTCATGAAAAATACAATTTAAGTACAATAACCATTTCCAATGTTACATCATTTTATATTTCACGATATTGTGTAACTAATCGCAGTGACTTTATTTCGAGATGATCATTTATGATAATTTCAATCAAAGTATATATTTGGACTTTTCATCCTAAAATTATTGAAATTATAAAGACTTAATCTTCATTCGATTTTTATTCAAACATATCCTACAATAAACATCGTACGAAACTTAAAT